TATAACATATGATGTTATAAGCTTTTCACGATCATTTCATTTCGATATAAATATGTAGCTTTGAAGAATTTCGCAGTCAGAGAATCTCTAATTTCTCAAGCAACTTTTTATTGTACAATGATACACCGTTTTTCTATATAGAGTACTGACATTCTTTAGAAATATCAATAGTAAACGTTTGACAAGATTTGATAATATTAATTAGCTTGGATGATTGGATGATGTGGCAATTCGCAACGGACATGGGTTTTTCACTTATTTACAGTACTTTTCTGTGGATTAATATTGATTAAGGTGTTCTTCTTTATAATATCGTATCTTTTACCCAAAGAGTTACTAGAAGTGTTGTTTATCACGAATAAAAATCTTAGTATATATATATTTATTTTTTTATTTAAGAGCTTGGTTTTTGTTGTAGTTAAGTGCTATTATTTCAGTTTTGCCTATTTCTTCACTCTTTCAGTTAGCATTACTTATTAATACATACATATACTTATTCAGATCAAAGAATTGTCCGAATCTATGTTTACTCCTCAATATGTTTTCACTTCGGTTAGACTATCTTCTTAGCACATATCGACTAGGGATTGTTGTTTACCATCACACAACAATAAGTTCAACATATATGTATAAACGTTATTTTTCTAATAATAAACGTTATTACTAAATTACTTGCAGTCTCAAAAATAATTATTTACGAATAATTAAATACAAGAATTATTTGCAAGAGCACTGATGATGGGTATTTGGCAATACTCGAAACAGTTGTATGGGTAGCCAAAAATTCAATTAATTAAAACAATAAAAAAAATAAAATTTTTGTTGTTGTATTTCACTACTGTTTGAAAAAACCTCTTTATAAATTTTTTTATGATATAAGTTATTGGGTTTTATGTCGCTTTCATTTGTTTTTTGACGTAATTTAATTTATCTAAATTAAATTGATAAAGTTAACTTTTGTCAGCAACTACTCTTGCTTACTTTTTATTTATTTTTTTTTTGTCATGAAATTGGATGATTTTGAAATCAGTTAATATTCTACCCTGATAAAAACACCAAAAAATCTTTAAAGTATAGGCAATATTCTTATATAGAATTGTATTATATAAAATAAATTAAAAATAATTTATATAAGTTTTTTTACATGTACAAGTTTATAAAACATTTTAAAAATAATTTAGCATTATTAAAAAATTGAACTTAAAATAACTGAATAAATGTATAAAATATGTAGCTTTAATATATTTTAAAGAAATTGTGAAATTTAACTTATCATTTACTATCGCAATTTCATAATTTCGGTATATATATTCAGCCGATATATATATTTTTTATATAAATATATATAAAAAATGTTATTAAATTTTTCTCTATAAATAAATTATGCAATGGCCAGTAGATAGTTTCATTATGCAATGGCCAGTAGATAGTTTCACATGTATTATAAAATAGATAATATACTATTTTTTGCCAATATTAATGAAAATGGATAAAATAAGTATTAACTTGCCAGGTTACAAACCAATTGACTCAGAAACTCTTAGATATAGTATTTAGTTTTAGTATAATCAACTATTTTAATTTTGCAATTATAACTAATTTTTAGTGACACGAAATATCGCATAACTTGCAAATAATAGAATCCTTTATAGTCACAAAGACGAGACTATTTAAAATTTCTTCTACTAAAATATGCGCACTACTTTTTATTGCAAATAGTTCTCTAAATAATCTAGACAATATTTTACAAAAATATTTTTCTGATTACAGTATCAATAATCCCCTACCGTTGAATATGTTAAAAATTTAAGAAGATATCCTTAACTTCATTAGTATTTCAGAAAAACATGCGCCAAAAGTAAATATTACTCAATCCTTATTGTAGAATATTTTGCTGAACTATAGGGTCATTCACGTAAACGTTCCTTTCAAAACATTTGTAAGGACAAGGCACACTCTTGACATTTGTTTGTTGAGTAAAGCTGATTAATGCGGTTGAATGATTTGCATATTCACCTATATTATGTGGGGACTTATCTATGCATTTCAATTTGCACTCTACAAGTATATCTTAATTTTATTTAAAGATGTTAATTTTTGTATCTTTTGATCTCAAGTAGATCATATAAGCGTAAACCTTTGTGTGACTTTTAAGTGCAAAAAAAAACTCATTGAAGGAAATATTATTGCTTATATCATAAATATTAGTATATAAAGATGTTTTCTTATAAAGCTGAACTTCACATATCTATTTATATAATATATATGTACTTTGAACTCTCGATATTTTTTTTATATCTATTGTATTGTATATAATTATTTATGATACATATTGTCTAAAATTAACATTTAAAAAATGCAATTCTTGTGACCCCGCTAATGCGTTGATGCCATTTATTCGCCTGTATATAATGAAGTTTAATTCGGTGTGTAAAAATGAGAAAAAACAAATAGGTATATTAGAGACTTAGTAATCACCTGAATTAGCTGGATTCAGTAATTATTGTTTAAATTACAGCAAAATTTCTTTGTTAGAGAATTTAACATGACAGGTAAGTTTTCTGTGCCTGGATGAATACGTCCAGCTAAGCCTTTTTATTGTGAGAACATTTTCGGGAAGGAATTGCCCTTAGGGCAGGTAAACCTGGTGAATACATTGTTCAACGTACTACTTCCTATAGTCATAACGTATTCTTCTATTTTTCAAAAATTTTAATATTAACAATTAATTTAAATTCTTCCCTAATTGAACTGTAGTGAACTTTTTCGAATTTACTTTTTCTGCGTTACAAAACACTGATGCTGAACTAAATAAACTTGTTTTTTGAGGCAAAAATAGGCCTTGCAAATATCACTCTTACTTGCTATCTCCTAATATTCCAGTCTTGTTCCTTGGTCTTCAGTATCTTCGTCAGGTCCGTATTTTGGACCTGATTGCCATTCCATTGATCTTCAGTAATTTGATTCCGTATCTGCAGTGTGTTTTGTTTTCGATCCGCTAACAATGTTTGCTCTCCTTATCGCAAGGACAACGTGACAATTTAGCGTTCTTATAATGAATTTCTTTGTATGTACAATCTAATGTATTGACCTTCCGGTTTCAAAAAACCATGTAAACATCGCATGTACAGTGAAATGCAATCAGTTGAAGTACTTGCAGGAATACTTCATACATAATATCATTGCGAGTAATAATGGCAATGAATTATCTGGGATTATACTCCACCAATCGCATCCGTATTCAATACTTTTTCATATACAGGATAAGTTAAACCAATCATCACCAAATTTGAAAAGCTGCCTCCTTCCAGTCTGTTAACGTATTTGGCACAGAATCCCCCAAGGAATTTCTTAAATCATGCAGATTCGTTGGTTGTGGACACTGATCTTTTTTTGTTATCTGTAAGCACGCCTTCTGTAGCTATCTCGTGACCAAGATTCAGCTTTAGAACCGTGGCTTCTGTTCGTTCGAATACTTTTCTTGACTTTAAACCATTGATCATTACGATTATGTCATTTAGGTTAACCAAGAATCCCTAGTATAATTCTTGTGAAAGACGTTCCCAAAGACTCTCAAGAGTCAAGAATATTGCAAAGGTCAAACGGCAATTAATAACTATCATTCTTTGTTACAGAACTCAGCTTACGATTGTATACGCGGTATTGTCTGCCTCCAAATTTCTTTTTAACTAATTTTAATAGCGAATTCCACAATTGAACCGGTTACCTCACTTCTTTAAGGTAACAGAGCTCTCAGTGGCACCTAACCTTTTGGTTGGCAACGGTTGGTTTCGATTGCGTGTTTTACTGCAGAAATTTTATTCTTATTTGCAAAAATAGACCAGAGCTTACGTGTTATCTGCAACGCTTTGCTTTGCTTGGTACACTGCCATCTTTCTTCGGTTCCACTAATGTTTCTCCAAGTATGTTATAATTAGTTTAGTTAACTTTTACATCCATGCACAATTTGCTTTCTACTTCATCGATAGCCATTCCTCATCTATTTCCCATACGACTACTCCGGAGCTTTTATTGTCAAGGGTAGCAAAACAAGCGATCAAAAGTCTACAAACACTTGGACTTTCGGTATTTCTAAGGCGAGTAAAATGTTAATTGGTGAAACTTTGCATTGCGTCTTAATGTATTTATGGTAATTAATCAAAACTGCAAAAAACTGTATTACACTTAAAATACCTACTACAAACTGGCAAATGGTGTCTAATCATAAAGAAGTAAGCGTCGATGAGAGAAAAACCATCATAACATTTTGGAAGGAAGAGAAGTTGAACCGGGAAAGAAGCCTTACATATCTCTAACTAATCGAAAGAAGCGCATTGCTTTTGCAAATAAATATGTAGATATGCCGGAGGAGTTTTGGAATAATGTGGTTTACTCCGACGAATCCTAGTTTTGTGTTTTTAGCATTCAAGGATGTAATTTAGTATGGCATAAGTAAAGCATACAGTAAACAAAATCTTTTCCCAACTGTAAAATATAGAGGTGATACGGTGGTGCTCTGCGGTTGTTTGATAGATAATGGTACGTGCAATCTTGAGTTTGTGAAGACAACAATAGATAGACATATATACATACATGAGCGAACAAGGCTCAAGACGCGTTTCAAATAGCCTCTCTTGAGTTAACGTCAACCTCAACGTTCCCGCGGTGTTCCCTGTTTTCACTAATGAGGCTCTGGCGACCGAGTGTTCGGCGGGATATCTGAACTCTTCCATCTGCTGTCTAGAGGAAATGCTAGCTGCACATTTACATCATGGCAGGGTCGGAGGCCAAATGGTGATTGACGAAATTTAAGAAAGGTAGCAGCCCTACCACCGATCTTGGCAGCTATGGGTTAATCACTCGTGGCGGCTGAAAAACATTAGATTCAAGTATTCACAAGAAATAGAAATCGGCCTGACCAAAACGATACCGACTTAAGGAATGTAAAAAGGACAAGATTTGGACAATGGAACGTGCGAACTCTGTTTCAAGCAGGAAAAATGGCTACGTTAGCCGCTGAATGCGATAGGTTTAAAATAGACGTAATTGGCATTAGCGAAATCAGATGGAATGGTACAGGTGAATTCACAAACCAAAAGGGAGGTGTACTTATGTACTCCGGCATGCCCGACGAACAAGACCCTCACATCCGAGGCGTTGCAGTTTACGTAAGAAAAAATGTTAAGCACTCAATCTTATGCTGGAAAGCTATATCCGAAAGAATAATAGTAGTGCGTTTTCGCGCAAAGAAATTCAATATGTCTCTAGTACAATACTATGCTCCAACAGAAGATAGTCCACTTGACCAAAAAGAAGTTTTCTACAGTACGCTAGAAAGAACGCTCTCTGAAATTCCTAGAACCAATGTAATTATTCTTATGGGCGATTTCAAGAGAGAATGGGGAGCTGTTTTTGGAACTTTGTATGAATTATGATCTCAGGATTGGAGGATCCCTATTTCCTCATAAAACGTGTCACAAGGTCACTTGGAAGTCCTCCGCTGGCAACTTCGAAAGTCAAATTGATTATATCTGCATTTCAAAACGATGGAGTAAAGTTCTATGTGATGTCAGAAACAAAAGAAGCGCTGATATCGACAGCGCTGAACTGAAATTTAATATACCTAAACATAGGTATGAACATCCGCAGCATACACGGCGCACGTACAATACCACAAAGCTTAATGTTGGAGCGGTAAAGAATGAAATGATCGAACATATTAACAACGTCAGTTTGATGGAAGATGCTTCTATTGAGGAAACGCGGCTTCATATTAAAACAAATCTCGAAGAGATCTGCAAGGACACACTCGGCTACCGTAAAAACGAGCAAAAGGAATGGTTGTCGGCAAACTCTTGGGAGCTCATTGCTCAAAGAAGGTGCGTTAAAACGAAAATGTTAAAAATGTTACCCGTTTAAAAAAGCCGAATACAACATAACGTACAGAAGTCTCAGTAGGCAGATCAAGAAAGCAGTCAAAAGCGACAAGAGAAACTATTACGTTGAACTAAGCATGAAAGCGCAAGCAGCATCAGAAAAGGGCGACATGAAGGAGCTGTTTAAGTTAACTGAACAACTAGGTGAAAAATCTTTCCAAAGCCGCGCTCCAATTGAAAATGAAAATGGACAGCTGGTGTTTGCTAAGAACGAGCAGGCAGAAGTATGGAAAAGACATTTTGAGAAAATCCTGAATATCATACACAACGAAAGTGGCGAGCTCACAATACGAAGACATCTAAATCCTAACAGACAAATAGATACAAGGGCACCTAGCGTTAACGAAATAAGAGGTGTAATCATTAGCATGAAAAGTGGTAAAGCACCAGGTAATGATTGTTTACCAATAGAGTGTTTTTAGGCAGACCCCAATACTGTGTCCAAACTTTTGCTCCCCTTGTTTGAGAAAATCTGGGAACTAGAGTCATTCCCTCTCGAATGGAAGGAGTCTATCATCGTCAAACTGCCGAAAAAAGGCAATAGAAAGGAATTCAGCAACTGGAGGGGAATTTCTTTAATACCAGCAGTTTTCCAAATTTTCAACAAAATAATTTTAGAAAGAATCGCCGTAACATTAAACGAGCTTATTCATAAAACTCAAGCAGGTTTTCGCCCTGGGCACTCGTGCATCGACCAAATTAACACGATTAGAATATTTATTGAACAAGCCTCAGAATGGAATGCAACCTTGTATTTAAATTTATTAATTTTGAAAAGGCTTTCGACGCGCTTAAGAGAAGTTACATATGGCTAGCGTTAAACGCTAAAGGTATCCCTAATAAGATCATTAATATTCTCAAGAAGAGCTACGAAGGGGCCACGAGTAGAGTTTTACATGAAGGTACTCTTAGCGACAGCTTTAATTGCAACAGTGGAGTGCGACAGGACTGCGCACTCTCACCGTTACTGTTTATCACAGTCCTAGACGTCGTTCTAGAAGCTGTAGAAGAAAGCCCAATCGGCATTGGTTGGAAGCTGAATCAAAAGCTTGGTTATCTTGAATATGCAGACGATGTAGTATTGTTAACAAACAGACACACTGATATGCAAACTCTTGTTAATAACGTATGTGAGCAGTCATATAAAGTCGGCCTAAAAATTAACGCTTCAAAGACAAAAACAATGAGAACGAAAGCAAGCACTCAATCGTCCATCCTTCTGTACGATCAAAACATTGAAAACGTGCAGGAACTCGAATACCTGGGAAGTATATTCAATAGCGAGGGTGGCACGTCAAAGGACATCGGCAGTAGAGTGAAAAAGGCAAATGGCTCTTTCGCATCGCTTAACAAAATTTGAAAAGCCAACAGTGTAAGCGTCGAAACTAAAACCAGATTATTCAACGCCTGCGTCAAATCGACATTATTATATGGGTGCGAAACATGGTCGCTAACGAGGGCCTCGACTCAGAAGATACAATCCTTTGTCAATAGAAGCCTGCGGCGTATTCTGAACATATGGTGGCCTGCAAGAGTCTCCAACGAAGAGCTATGGCAGCGTACCAAACAAAAGCCAATAGAGAAAGAAATTTTGAGACGCAAATATGGCTGGCTCGGCCACACATTTAGAAAACCGACAGATGCAATTGCCCACGCAGTCATGGAATGCAACCCGCAAGGAGCAAGGAGGCGAGGTCGTCCCAAAACCACCTGGCGAAGAACAGTGGCAGCAGAAACAAACAAATCCTTTAACCAGTTACGTTTTGCTGCCAGAAACAGAGAGCAATGGAAGAAGTTTATAAATATTATTTGTGAATAGACTAAGTTCTAATTTTTAAATTTTTAATTTAATTTTTATAATGAAGAACATGTCTTATTATTATGTAGATATGTATTTATCTAAACATTTTAAAGCGTAATATGCGATCAAGTGCTGACAAATTAGGACGAAAAAAGGGTTTTATTTGCAACAGGGCAATAATACTGAACATACAGCAGAAATTGTGCTTCTTTGGTTGTATATAACGTCCCTTAACTGCTAAAAACGCCTCCACAGTCACCGGGCAATCATGGGCACTTTTTAAAAATTTGTAAACATTTAATTTCGACCAAACAGCATTTGAAAGACATAATACAACTCAGGAGCAGTGGCGTCGCTAGACATCAGCGATGTCGGAGACCGCCGACGGCCTCGCGCCCACAGGGGCTTCGCAAAATGTTACCGACCGTGGATTCTAAGCACTTAATAAATATTTTAAATAATTTGGTTTGATAATGGCATTAACCATATTCGAAATATTTCCGAATGTTTATATAGTAACCAGATTCATGATCACAGTTCCAGCCAGTATAGCTTCGACGGAAAGAAGCTTCTCAAATTTAAAATTGATTAAGACGTACTAGAAAAGTGTGATTATCCAAGAGAGACTATCTCCATTCGAAATTCTATAACCTGAAGCGAAAATAGCAGCTGGCGCAAATTATGAAAAATTGAGTGACGCTAAAAGTAGGAAAATTAATTTATTTTAATTTGTGTTTATTTTAATTTGGTTAGCAATAAAACTTTCAATCATGCTTTGTCATATTAGTAAATGTAACTCATTTACTTTTACAACTGGATTATAAAGGGGACCTTGCAGTTCTAATGTCGCCGAAGTCCAGAGTTGGTCTAGCTCCGCCACTGCTCAGCAGACTTGTAGTTTCGATGAAAAACCGTCTAGTGGAAGTTCTTAAGCGTTGCGGTTACCCAACTAGTTACTAAATTGCATAAAAAATCAGAAATGTACACTAAAACGTCGTCTTATACTTGGTGCTTGTAGACTTTTGACCGTTTGTTTTGCTGGACAATAAAAGAATCAGCTGTTTTGTGAACACGTGCAGAGAAACTTCGCGAAAACATTGTGCATTGAATTTTAAAATTTTAAAAAACACTAAAGTATGTTTCCAATAAATTAAGTTTTTTGAAAAAAATTTTCAAACAAGTTTTTTGTACCGCCTGTTTGTAGACTTCTGAATCCGAGTGTATATTATATGTATTTGTTATTATTAATCCAGCGTTTTCTAAAAAGTAATTATATTTGATGGTATAAATTTTATTAATTTTAAAAAAAATATTTATTCATATATGTATGTATGTATTTGAGTTAAGTCTCTCATTGACCAAACATACATTTGAAAAATCTTGGCGCCTTTTCTTCATAATATTCACGCATGCTATTTACATACTATATGGCGTAGATAAATTTTTTTGTGAAGGATTTATATTGGGTTTTTCAATTATTTTAAATTTAGTAAACTAATATTTAAATGATGATGTAAAAATAATATAACTAATCATTTGAAATAGCTCAAACATAATTAATTATAATACACATACTAAAAGTATTTTATATATTAAGAAATAATTATGCTGTAAAGTCATATAAAATTTAATCATTCAAGTCTCTAAAATCCTTGTAAAATTAGTAAATTTAAATCATTAATATTTTAACATAGAATATTAACGTGTATTTTTATTAGTACATAAGCTTATAGATGATGGGTGAAGAGGGAAAAATCATGCAAAAACAAAATCTCAGCACAACTGGATGCGCTTCTGCAGAACTCAATACATGCAGTTTCGCTTCAAAAAAAAAGAGTCCAAAAAATATGTAAACAAAGAGAGAAATGCTTAATACAAACTGCATATTGTTTTCAGTGTTGCACTACATTTTGCTCTCTGGCCACAGAGTTGATACTACAAAGAAAAAATATGATGCTGAGCACATAATACCTGTATAGAAAATGTTAGAAAAAAAATTTTGTACAGAACAAAAATAATGAAAAGAAATAAGAAAACATAGAAAATAATTTTATATTTGCTTGCGCCTGCACCACTAGCAAAGGAAACAAAAACAAAAACAAATCATATCAAAAGTAAGCCAAAAACAAAATAAATACAACGATATTGTTTTTGTTGTGTTTTTGGTGTGTAACTGCATATGACAATTACAAAACTCAGAATTTCTATGCTTTTTGATGAGTTGTATTTTCTATGACTATCCGTGTTGAGTATGAAATCCAGTCAGTCGTGCTCAGCGTCTTAAAACGTGAAGGATGCGATGCGTAGTAGTGTTGTAGCAGATTTAGGAAGTTTTTAATATGTTAACAACAAGACTTCATGCTACATTAAAAAATTTAACATAAAAATATTGAGTGTTGCATATGTTAAAAAAATTAAATAAAATAATAACATTTATGTGATTTAAAAAAAAAAAAGAAAAAAGTGTTGAACACAAATAACAGTTTATTACAACATTGTTGATTTTTATTTTTTCTACTTATATTAATAATTTGTGCATAGCGAAAAGAACAAAATAATAATATAAAAAAAATATCTTAGTAATAATTATCAAGTAACATATAGCGGTAGTTAGTGCTCATGCGTATTTCTGGCGCCTACAAAAACAATATTAGTGTAAAAGCAGAAAATAGTGTCCAGAGATAAAAAAAAACAAGAATTTAATTGAAAAGGAATTTAAGCAAAGAAACACAGTAAAGGTGAGTCAATAATTTTAAATACAATATGTTTCTTAACATATATTTAATAAGTTTAACATAAGTATAACATGGATTCTTAAAACTTCTAATTTTGTAATCGTTTTTTGCAATCATAAATAACAAGCGTTTATAATATGAGATTTGATAATAATACACATATCCATTTGTAATATTTACACTATAATACAAATCGTTGAATAATTTCATATACAAATATCATTTCTGATATTACAATAAAATAATATTGAAATTATTATTATAATCATAGAAAAATTCTACTAATATACAATAACTGTTTAACTGTGTTACATTTCGTTCAGTTTTTCTTTACTCAGCTGATTTGATTAAATAAACCTAAATCCCTAAATCTACATACTTTCAAGTTAGTCATACTAGGTCTTGCTATGACCTAGACGCCTTCGGTTAGCATGCAATATACATTCGTTTATACATATGTATAAACAGTAAAGTAATTTAGTCTATATTTCAAACGATTTGTTTTATATTTTAGTTTTTTACTCTTAGCCCAATGTTTGGCATATTAAATGTCAAATCCAATATTATTTACAACAAAAATTTTTTTCAGTGTTTTTCAGAACAGTTAAAATTTTGCTATGCCTTTCAAATCAAAATTAGAAACTAATTTAAATTTACTAAATTTATGTGTAAGCTATCTTGAGATATGTATATAGCTCAACACTAATCTATCTGACAATGCTAACTAGAAAATCGCGAATAGCTTATGTCATATATATATCAGTTTATAATGCTACATTTATTAATAAACGATACCTGAGTAACAATGAATCCGACCTGTAATTAATTTTGAAACATATTATTTTGTAGAAGGTTAAAAAATTTTTTTTTAAATATTTTAGTTTCTCGTTTCTAAGAATTAAGACCATATATAAAAAATTATTAATGTATTTATTCCTAGAAGAGTTAAATTGATTTCCAACTAAAATACAGACATGTTTGAATGGCATTAAAATATAAAACCTTTTTCATATATTATATATTTATTTTTTATATATAATATATATTATTTATATATAAAATATATTGAATTTATTATACATATATATAATATATTTAATTTATATGTTTAATATATTTGTATTATATTTATAATTATTTATTATATTATATATATTTATAATTATTTGATTTGCTACTATTTTCTATATAAAATTTCATATTAGTTTAATTAAACTATTATGAGAACATTTATTTAAATTTCCATATACAGTTATAATTCTTCCTCTATCCACATTTTCCTTCCACTAATGCTTCTCTCGTGATAATACTAAAATATACCAACCTTCAAAAGATTTTTCGGAAAAATATAAAAAACTTGAAATGCATACGTACGTAAACACGAACCATGACGCGGCCTAGCCTACCCATGCAAATATTTTTTAATGTGTTCGCAGATGCAGATACGTAGATATTTAATGCATAAATTTAATACAATAATGTATATTGAAAATCCTTATGCGTTCTATAATAAGTGCTGTAATATTTTACCAACTGAATTTGACGTTAAAAAACCGCAATATTTTTTGCAACGTATTTTGGCTAATGTATATTTTGTTGTTTTTTCCCATGATTTTTATTTGTAAAAATTAACAAAAAAAAATCAGAATTCTTTCAATATTTTTTTAAGATTTAATTTTAGCCGCTTTCTAATTCAAAGTCAACATTGCAATTTTTTATATTTACATTCTAATATGCAGTTGCAGTTTTTTTTGTAAACTTTTTATAACTAAAAACAAAAATTTCAAAAAAAAATATTAAAAATCTTTTTGGCAACTAGTCTTTGTTGTTTTTAATACAAAATGTTGATTGTCAGTTTTTTGATTATGCATTTGCAATGGGCAAGTAGCGATTTAGAATCATCAGACAATTTTTATAAATGTTTCTTTAAAATATATATACTATAATATATACATATGAAATACATATGAATATGTATATATTTATTTTTTCTTCTTTAACAAAAAGTTGCAATTTTTTGTAAGACTTTTCCTTGTCAGAGACTTAATGCTCAAACTGTCTCATCATTATTTAGTTTTTAATGCTTTCGTTTAAAAATAAATCTAATATATTAATAGTACTTTTAAAATACGTCAAAAATAATAATAAATTGCATAAAAATATTTTTTATATTTGAAAGAAAATAAAAATATTTTTTTTTTATATTTAGTAGGAATTTGGTATGTCTCACAAAGGTTTTCTGCGGACTTTAATAGTTTAAATTATAAAACAAAAATATAATTCACTATAAAGTAAAAACTTGTAGGATTAACATCATCAAAATGTAATATTATTGTTTATATTAAAAAAATTGTGAACATAATATTTAGTATTTTAGCAATCCTTATTTTTAAATTAACTTTTTCTTTGTAAATACAAGCTAATTTCACTGAGTTAATTTAATTTAGTAATGTACTTGTATGTATAATAACAACTAAGATATGTTTTTGGTAGGATAGGATAGGTATAAACGGGGTACTAGCTCCCGACGGAGCAGAGCACTGCGGCCAGATTGATCTTTTGTACTGCAACAGACCCTAACCGAACAGAAGACATTCCACCTTCCGAATGAAGGCCAGAATGTCGTCCACTGAGAACCTCCTAATGTCAGAAGGGGAAAGCAGCTCTACTCCCAGTGACGTCCTTCTAGCCCAGATCGATGCTGGGCAGTCACAGAAAACGTGACTGGAAGTCTCGTCTGCATTTAAGCAGTGTCGACACTCCATCTCTTCGGAAAGACCTATTTTGTTGAGGTGATAACGCAGTCCATGGTGACCCGTTAAATATCCCACCAGCAATCTCAACTCTGTTTAGGTTTTTTGATAATTTTACTAAATTTGGTAAAATTATAAGATGTAGACATAACATTATAACGGCATCATTCAGCTCATATTTTAAAATCGACACAGTTCTAGACTATTTTAAAAACCTAACTACCATTATAGGTTTATTGTTAGTAAGCCTTCAAAATTTCAAATGTGAGATTATAGGTAAGGTGCTGTTTCTTGATTCTCACAGCAAGGCTTACAGGAATCATTCTTGCCTTTTCTCTTTAAATAATATTTCTGCCATTAATTAAGTCCTAATTTTAATATCTTTTTTTACTAAAATTTAAATTTCCATCTTAATATATTTAAAAATGATTTACTTCCTTACATGTACCATGTCCTTTTGGAATTTTCAAAAGTCCGTCCTTCCATTGCTGAATTAATTAGGGTTAATAATATATATTATATTATTATGTGCAATAACATATATATATATAATATATAATTTTATTCTTATATCTATATCTGTATCAAAAAAATTGATTTTACTTATAATTTAAGAAATTTTTAATTTAAATTGATAAATTGATTAATTTCTTTTATATATATATTGTGTCAATAGTAGTATCAATTAAACCGTTCTGGCATCCGAAACCAGGAACATGGTGCTAATCGTTTTTGAGTGAATTATTTAAAAATATTATGTATTTAATTCAGTACTATTGGGTTATTGCTCGTGGAATCTCTCAATGAAATTTCTTGAATTGATGTTTCTTGGAAGTTAGCTATATAGATTTGTATAACCTTCTTAAATATATTTTTTTAAATTATCTACGTTATTACCTAATAATGACATTAAAATTATATAATTTTTGTCATTATTTAGAGATTTGCTAGTTATGTACTTAAATCCAATTCTTTGCAATTTTTCTTTCTTCTGTTCTTCTATTGTTAATTAATATTGTTAATCTAATTCTTTGCAATTTTTCTTTCTTCTGTTCTTCTAAGAGCCTTACTACTGTTAATATAGCATTTGAGTCAAGATAACATAATATTATGTCATATCGAAAAATGCAAAAGCTAATAAAAATTAATATAGTAGAATGAGGCTCACATATTATTAAAATATTGTCTTCATTTGGACCTAATTTAACTGCAAGTTTCCAGAACTATTTTCTTCTGTTCTTCTAAGAGCCTTACTATTGTTAATATAGCAATTGAGTCAAGATAACATAATATTATTATGTCATATCGAAAAATGCAAAACGTAATAAAAATTAATATAGTATGTTGAACCTAGTTTCTTTTTTGATATTTTAGAAATTTTGTCTTTTTGAACTTTTACAGGTTCTATTTTAGATTAAGGTAGTTCGGGGTCTTCGACAGTAGTCACTTATGAGTTTTTACCCAAATATAGCGCTATTAATCTTAAATTCTATTAAGAATGACATTTATTCCAAGAAGGGAATGCTTTTGCACGTTTGTGAATAATAGGAACAGCTGTTATTAGTCGAATAATAAAGATAATGTTGCCACCAGTTTGAAAGCTGTTTGAGTTTGGCTGCAATTCGATTGGGAAATTCGATATATATGTATTAAATATTTTCATAATAAAGTATAAGTATAAAATATAATACTTGTACTTATTACTTAATAATAATATAAAATATAGTAAGATATAGATGGTATTTTAGTTTATACCTATAGTTTTTTTAGAAGTTAGTGGTCCTAATATGTGTATATTTATATTTTCTATCGAATAGTATAATTTTCCAAAATTGTTTAAAAACTTTTGATGCTGTTGGCAAGGGTTAAAATAATTTTAATCAGCACAAAATGGCTATCTGCCATTTTTTTCATTATTTATATTTTTTCCTTTTTTTTTGGTTTTTTTTTTTAAATATTTCATTATTCTAAAATAAACAGTGATTTTTTCACTTTATATAAACAACAAGTAGTTTTCAAAATCAGCAAATTGAAGAAAAAATGCATAAATAATTTTTTATATATGCAATATTTTTTCCGCAAGTATATTTTTATCCTTTTGTGCTGACTTAACTACCGCATATGCCGCACTCCCCACATTAACTTAGTACACGCCAAACGTCAGCCAATGTGTGTCTATGTACTTATTTGCATTTGTGTATAAAAATTTTCCATTTTCCATTTTTTTTCTTGCATTTTTAATATTTTTTATTTTATATTTTTTGCACATTTCTAAATAACGTCTAAAAATTAGCGGCACATGTTTTGATTTTTGCATGCGCCAAAAATGCACCAGAAATCGCATAGACACAACTATTGACAAGGGGGACGGGACGAGTGTGGGTCTAACGTGCAGTGGCATATTAATTTTACACTTGGCCTTTAAAAATGAATTTTAAGCTAAAAGATCTTTTGCAGATGCATTTATAGTGTCTAAGCAAAAAGTGCATTTACCAAGTTTATGTTATTTATTTATTTATTTTTTTTTGTTTTTGTTTTTTTTTTTCTTGTAGTTTAACTTCTTAATTCTTTTGTTCTATTTAAAATTTTAGTACATATTTTAAGACGCTTTTATACAATTAGATTTTTATTTTATACATTCAACTACACAAATGTAAAAAATAATTTCTTATTTTAATAATGATAAAGACATTTTTATTGTATCAGTGCCTATCTGTCCAAATACCGATTTGTCAATGTGTCGTTCTGTGAAAATGAACAATTAATTATGATCTAAATTTTTATTATTATAGTGTAATTCTTTCCGCAATTACAAGAAAAAATACTGAAGATCTTGCAGAAACTTTGTCCATTTCTTTAAAATCGGCATTATTTTTGTTGGCCAACTTTTTCGCGTTTATGCATTTGTTTTTGTTCGAATTTTGTTGATATATCAATTAGTTAAGTTAATATATGTAATGGCATGACGACGTTTTCCTTTAGCTTTAGACCAAAGGAAAAATAATAGTAAATGTTGTATATATTTTTCAATATTATTTTTACAATTATGTGACGTAACACAAATAACAATAAAAAGCAATTATATTAATATTAGATTCTTTTCAATTTTATTTGAAATTTATTATTTCATTAAGAAATGTTAACAAAATATATATAGGTTTTTATTTTAATGTTTATTCATTATTATAAGTTTTTTCATAAAAAACAAGTAAAAAAATTTAATTTCGAAAATTTTATAATATCATACATAGATTGAACCTATAGTGTCTTTCATTAAAGAAATCGGACTAACTAAGGGGTACAATAGATATTTTAGGTCGCAGAGTACTATCTCTTTTTCATAAAAGTAATAATATCCTTCAATCAACTAGTTCATTATATGATTTTAATATATATTATTCAAAGTATATAAATAAATTATTACAGTTGTAAAAAATTGACTTTAAAAATTTTATTTTATTAATTTTATTTTATTAATTTAATTCCTATTAATTTTATAAAATCGGTCTACTACTATTACGTCTATTATTTTTTTCTTTTAATTTTTTATTTCTGCTGCTTTTTGTTTTTGTTTTTTTTTTTTATTTTTGAAATAAATAAATTATAAAATATTATTTAAATTATAAAATTCAAGTTATTTTAATTACAAAATTAAAACAATTTAATAAAAAAACTTCTAAATTATTTGCAATTCATTAAAAACAATAGTTTCAAGAAATTTAAGATGTTTCTTGCTAAAGCTAAATTACAAGAAGCAATTATGCTAATTCAGTTTAATGTGGTGATTTACTTACGTCACTTTATCTAATTAGTATCCATTAATTTGTTTGGAAAATGTTAAAAATCTGAAAATAACTCAATTTTGACTTTTTGAGCAATAAAAATCGAGTAATATATAAATTTCAATATCGAGTACAATACTAACAATTTGCTTTGTGAATATATCTTTGTGTTGAGTATTTGCCATCTTGAAACTGTAGCCTTTAAAAATATTACATACATTTTCTCCGATTTTCATAATTTAGAAAAAAGTGTAATTTTCTTTTAAAATTTTCCCCTACTTATGTAAATACCTGTGGCCTAAAATTAATTCAAATTTCACACTTTTCTATTTCTATTTATAAAACAATACATCCTTGCTTATGTACTCGCAATCCTTAGTTTTTGTTGTATTCTGTAATATAACTTAGATTTTTTTGTTTAATTTATACATTGTTACAATTTAAAATATTTTTTGTATCCTTGTAAATCCTTTTTTTTCTTAACAAACCCATACAATTTGAGCTCTTAAGCTTAGAGCATTAGATACAAAGACATTTAATCCATTTGGAAATTTTAAAATGCATATATTCGCATATTCTTTAGGGTTTTACTTTGAGTTTTATTTTTCGTGATTTTTTGTTTTATGAAAAATACCTAATTCGCGTAAAAATAACTTTAGACTTGATCCTAAATGCTTGATCCGCTCTAATCCACGTTTGAACAAATAACTAAATTGACCTGTTATCACGGTAATCGCCTTCACAGTTACGCGCTATTGCAAAAGTGCATGTGTTAGTGCGGTACAGCACGATTGTTAGAAGTACTCTTTCGCGAAGACAGGTAGGCAGTCTTCGCGGATCTATACAAATATTGACTTTTTAGAACAATGTCAACCTTAATTTCTTTACTATAATTCCTCAAGGTTTGTTGCGCTTAAATAACCCGCGATTTATCCTAGAGAGCATCAGTTACAGTCTGCAAATGCTCAAGTGAACAGCAAGAAATTAGAGTGCGTCGAAATAAGTTAAATTTATTTAAAAATTATTTTCTAAATATCAGTAATAAGTGAAGTTTTTCTATAATAAATTGCGAAATTAAAGGTAAGAACCGTGTACTTGAAAACGCCATGTTTTAGTGAAAATCCTAAAAAGTGCCAGCCAATCATATTATGCGATTTTTTATAATGCAGTGAAAAAATAAAACAGTGCACACCATTTTTAAAAAACAAACGATAAAAAACCGTGTATTTTTTGGTTTAAAACCACCCCAACTTCTAATTTTAATACTTCACCCCACATAACTCGAGCATTAATAATGCGCTTATGTGTTTAGCACATTTATATTGTGGTATATAAACCCTCTGGGGTGCCAACTGTTGTAAATAGCTCTATAAACTGCGTACATACGATCGTACCAAAGTACTCCCTCTTCAAAACTCGTGAAAAAACAATAGTTGATTCCAATTTTTATAGCCTTTTTCGACTGAATTTTCAGTTTTTTTTCGCTACTCACTCTACTCTACTAAGGACAAACTTTTTATGTGAATTCGTCAAGGGAAGTATGGAGTAGACGACAAAGAATATGACAACGACCCTGCAATGGGTAACAATATGAGGCATTTATAAGCGTACGTTTAAGGGTGGTTCAGAAATAAAAATAAAATCGCAAAAAATATAAAAAGTGTAAAAATAATAAAAAAAACTGAGCACGCGCAGTAAGCGTGCCACAATATAGTATAAAAATTATATTAATAAATATTTTGCTGTTTTATTTTCATGTATATAACTAACATATAATTTTTTTCTCTTTTATTTGCAGTTTAAACAATTTAAATACACAAAACCGACACACACAAACAAAGTTTTGCAAACATGCAAAACTGGGACGCTATGCAACCCACCGCTAATTACGACCAGCACAATACTTGGTACAATAATATGTTTGCCGCCAACATCAAAAATGAACCTGGCACTATAAGCCCTACACAATTGCAACATGCAGCATCATTGTCCTCTTCAACACTCTCAACAGCAACATCACAACTGGAAAATTATTTGAAACAACAACAGCAATTAGTTCCTATGGACACTATGTCAGCTATGACCCCATCACCTAGCAACAACGACAGCATGCAACACTTTTTCGACGGTAATATCCAACAGCAACTGTTGCAACAACAACAATACCAACAACAATTTCAACAAGCGCAACAAGCTGCTGCACAAAATCAGGTCACATCAAACCATTTACCATTGGGTTTTAATCCTCTTACACCGCCTGGGTTGCCGAATGCAGTTTTGCCACCGATGTCTCACTTTTATAATCACAATAATATGCATACTGGTGTAAATAAAACACCCAGTCCCCAGCCTACTCCACAAGCGAATGTTGCAGCAATACCTTTGGAGAGCAGCGAAAAATTACAATCGGCATTAACCCCGCGTAACACACCACCTATGGATATAACACCACCTAAGTCACCAAAAACTACCAACAACAGCAATCAGTCAGAACAGCAGGGAGATGGGCAGGCAATAGAAAAGGATCAAGATTTGGTGTCTAACTCCAGTGAAGATATGAAGTATGCCGTCGATTCTGATGATGATGAAGCTATTCGTTTGCCAATTTATAATTCCCATGGCAAAATGAAGAATTACAAATGTAAAACCTGTGGTCTAGTTTCTATTACGAAAGTTGCTTTCTGGGAACATACACGCTCACACATGAAACCAGATAAAATTTTACAGTGCCCAAAGTGTCCATTTGTTACTGAATTGAAGCATCATCTGGAATATCATACACGTAAACACAAGAATATTAAGCCATTCCAGTGCGAAAAGTGCTCCTATACCTGTGTTAACAAATCGATGTTGAACTCTCATCGTAAATCTCATTCATCTGTTTATCAATATCGTTGCTCAGACTGTGATTATGCCACAAAATATTGCCACTCATTCAAATTGCATCTACGCAAATATGATCATAAGCCAGGTATGGTACTTGATGAGGAAGGTGTACCTAACCCATCCGTAGTAATTGATGTTTATGGTACACGACGTGGACCGAAAACAAAATCTGCTGGAGGTCTTACAAAGCGTGAACGAATATCTGCTGCAAATCTTAGTAAGCAACAATCTAATGAAATCAAAATGCCAACATCTCAATTATCGGCAGCCTTGCAAGGTTTCAGTATTCCACAACAACATCAAATGCCTGCGTCTCCTGCCAAAAGTACCAACTCTGCTACATCCGACATATCTGGTTTGGCCTTAGGCATGAACTTACAACAACAACAGCAGCAACAACAAGCACAAGCCAATCAAAGTGTAAATTCGCAAGCGAACACTCAACACTCTTTGCCTAACTTATTACCGCCATTAGCTACGATACTACAACAAAATCGTAATATGGCTTTTTTCCCTTATTGGAACTTAAATTTACAAATGCTGGCCGCACAACAACAAGCTGTGGTTTTAGCACAATTATCACCACGTATGCGTGAAACTGCTTTGCAACAATTGCAAAATCAACAGACTGGTGGTAATGAATCAGCTCATGAAGAAGATGATGATGACTTTGAAAGTAAATCCATTGATTCGGCAATGGACCTATCTCAGGGCACACCTGGTAAAGAAGAGTTGCAGCCAGTACATGATATAGCTATGAATCTTAAATTGCAAGAAGAAGGTTCCGATACACCAATGCTGAGCTCAAATAATGCCTCACGGCGCAAGGGTCGCGTACTAAAATTGGATGCAGTTTTACAATTAAAATCAGCTTCCCAATCACCGGAGCAAATGAAAGAGTCGCCCATTTCTTTAATTACTCACGAAAATGAAGAACGTATTGTCCCTTCGCCTTTTGTAAATGATGCACCATCACCATTACCAGTCAAAGTAGATGAACATATATCGGCTGGTAAGAGTATGGAAACTACAGCTGCACCAACTGCTGTCGCATCAGTACCACCACTACCACCATCAGCCACTATAAACACTAATTCAGCTAATACAAGCTCGAGCTCAACTGCATCCTCATCAGGCAACAGCTCTAATAGCTCAAGCTCACTTTTCTCAATCGCCCTTCAAGCCGGCGCAATCTACGAATGCAAATATTGTGATATATTCTTCAGGGATGCTGTTCTCTATACAATCCACATGGGATATCACAGTTGCGATGATGTATTCAAGTGCAACATGTGCGGTGACAAATGTGATGGACCTGTTGGTCTCTTTGTGCACATGGCACGTAATGCACATTCTTAAGAGGAGCCATTAACGAGCCACTAGGCTCTTTGTGCACATGGCACATAAATCACATTCTTAAGCAAATAACTGAGCCAAGATTCACTTTTATTTTATATTTACTTTAGTTGTTTATTGTAAAAATTGTATATAGTTTTAAGTTGTGTATATGGTATAAATCTTTATGGGCATCCCTGTAATCACATACACGAAGTTGTCCTCAATTGTAAATATAACCCTCCCCCTCCCCTTTAGTTTTAAGTTAAGTGTTAAGTTTTAAGTTAAGTTAAGTTAAGTTTTAAATTAAGTTTTAATTTTGCTTTTTAGTTGCTCTTGAAAGAAGTTTCCTTTTAATTTTAAATGATTTTCGATTTTGAAAAATAATAATTATTTTTACAATGTGTTTTATAAACAATTTGATTTATTTCATTTTAAATGTAAGGAAAACAAACAAACAAAAAGTAATTATATGTAATTTTAGAAACCTAGAAAAAAAGGTTTAAAATTTGTAATGTAATGATTTCTGAACTAATCAAACTAATTGTAAGTCAGCAACCAAATGCCAAACCTTATTCAAGTCATTTTGTAAATCGAAGAAATTATTTACTTAGGTTAGTACTTTTATATCATATATACCTCCAATGTAAAAGCAAAGTGTATCTTAGGCTAAAGTTATGTTTAAATCTTAAACTTTTTGTATAACCATACTACAGTGATTAATTTTGTTTACATATTATTTTTAAAATGATGGTATGAAACCAAATTGAAAATTACTACTAAAAGTTTATCAATTTGAACCAATTTATCAATAAAAACGAACATTCATAAAAAAGTAATTATTATATGAGTTTTTATTTGAATTATTTGAAGTTTTACAATTTATTATAGTTTTTGAAACAATTTATACAATTTTTTAATAAAAGAGAACATTTATATTTAAAAAGAATTTTAATTTGAGTTTTTATTTGATATATAATTTTTTTTTGTTTTTATTTTGGTTTAACAAAATTCTAAAAACGATAAACGATAAACTATAAAGAAATACTAAGAACATTAAAAAAAAAATTCTTAAGTTACTTAAATTTGTAATTAATTTAATTAATTCTTTATTAATTTTAATTAATTCTTTATTAATTTTAATAAATTCTTTATTAATTTTAATAAATTCTTTATTAATTTTATTTAATTCTTTATTAATTTTAATTAATTCTTTATTAATTTTAATTAATTCTTTATTAATTTTAATTAATTCTGAAACAAAATTACAAAACTGGTTTACAAGGTCAAGGACAATATTTAGAAAAGTACAAATTACACGTTTTAGTAAAAATAACTTTAACTTTCTTAAAAATAACTATTAAAATGATTGCTTTTTTATCATAATAATATATTATAATTAGATGATATATTAAAATAAAATAAAATATTTAAAAATGTTTCAAAAAAAAATTTGCTACATCAGCTCATATTTTATAAGTGTAATAAATTTTATAAAACTTCTGAGAGAAAATCAAAATTATTATTAAAATACGATCATTTAAATTTATTATTAAATTAAGATTGTTTTAATATACATATATGTTTTCCAATGTAAATAAAAATATATACATTTTAATAACGTGAAGTCCTATTAAATTATAATTGAATTTTTTTAAATAAATGCCAAATATAAAAATTACAAATATTTTTTTTTTTAAAACTGATCAAATTTATTTTATATTATTTTATATATATTTATATTAAATATGCTGTATATACTTTATACAATAAGTGAATTTGTTAATAAAACTTTTACAGTAAATTAACAAAACTCCAGAAAAATGTGCGAACATAAAAGTCAAGTACGGCTTTGGGTCAGTTAGTTAAGGTGCGCTGCCTCTAAGCTTCAAATTTGGCAGGACACAAGTTTGATTTCTGGTACTTGCAGTCTCAAAAAATTAGTTACGAATAATTAAATACAAGAATTATTTCCAAGATGACTGATGATGGGTATTTGGCAATACTCAAAACAGCTGTATGGTAATTAATTAAAATAATATAAAAGTGAATTTTTGTTGTTGTAGTTCATTACTGTCCAAAAAAAAACCTCTTTATTCAGAATATATATATGCGTGAAATATACTTTTATTTCCAATATTATTGAAACTGTTCAGTATAAACTGTGTTGTACTATATTCTAACAGAACAAGCGACAAAAAATATTCAAACACTATAAATAACACAGCGTCTATACTAGCTAGACTTTGACAAGACATTAAGTAAAATCTAACATAAAGCAGAGCAACTGCTTGATCTGTTTGAATATCTATAGTATTCGATTCAATGTTAGAATTCAGAGATACACGAACTACTCGAACTTTACTTCCAAGTCTTATATCATATTTATCACGAAAGAAAATATAACATCTGCTACTTTAAGACAATATTATTTACCAGCGTTTTTAAAATTATAAGTAGCGGATAATTTATATGTGCATTACATATACATAATAAATTAACTGATATATCTTAATTCTTTTTAGTACTATACTAATATTAATTTTTATAGAAAAAATGAATAAAACTTAAAGCATGGAAGAAAGAGGTGTTAGCTTCATCTATATATTATTTGATTAATCCCTAATAGTGTTTGGTCATAAAATTATAAATATAAATTTCTGATGTGAAAATAAAGTGAGATATTGGAAGGTTTATATGTATTGTATATATAAGATATATACTATCCAAGTAGTTTTAATAAATTAAAAAGTATTGGCAAATATTTGATGCTATTATTTTCAAAATGAAGTATTGATAACTGAGAACAGCATTTTTCAACTTATCTTAAATGAATAATAAAAAATCGCGCCCCTATTAATAACACAGTGACTTCTAAGTTGAGAGACTATGATTGTCTTACGACTCTTTTTAATAGCACTATGACTTACAAGTTGAGAGACTATGATTTAAAGGATTGAAAGTTTAATTTCTTAATATTAACCTGGATTACTGGCATATTATAGTCTAAAAAATGCAGTATTAAAATCAAAATTAACAATTAGGAATTAAAAAAAAAATTGTCTTCATTGAGAGTCGATCAATTCTAAAATTATTTGTTAGCGGATGAGGAAAAGTCCACAGTTAGTCTGTTTTGCGTAGTCTACAGGCAAACTAATAGTCTTACTCCTTATTCGTTTTATCAATCCGTGCAAACCACTTCATTTACATTGGGGTAATAATAATTTATTTTAATTTTATAAAAACTGAACTTATATTATTCTATTATTTCTAAATAAATAAAAATTAATAGAAATTTTTTTATAAATTATTAGGTATGTCTTGTTCTCTAAATCACTTTACTTTAATTTGTTACTCTTTTATATATTTTACCTGCAAATTTCACACTATACCATAAATACAAAAGAACTAAAAACAAAAGAAAAGCGAACTGCGACTCAAATTAACATATCCCATAACGGACAAATCTAAAATTATACAGTTTTAAACAATACTCGGTATTTTCCGTCGAAACGGCGAATAAACGAAGTCTCATTTGAAGAAAAGTCGTGTTTCAACAATTGTCTCGTGTTCTCCGACAAATCGGCAATTGAAACGAAGTCGCACCTCGTATTGCTGTCATCATAAAAAATCAAATTAAAATGATTTTTAATATATATTTGTAAATCTGTTAAACAATTAGATATATTTATTTATAGATATTTATATAATTTGAATGTATTTTAACATCCTTTTTTATGGAAGAGTTATAAAACATTTGATATAGTTCTAGGATGCAGCTACAAGTCAATTCGATTTAGATTACTACGCATCGTGGAATAACTAAACAGATTATTAACGTTGAGGTGAAGTAATTTTATCACAATTCAATTCAAATTGAAGAATAGATAAAACAATTTAAGATAATAACTGATAAACGGTAAATAATATTATTACTATACTATATATGGTAAAGACAAATTGAATATAAATGGATAAAGAGCAACTACGCTAAGAGTATTACATTTTAATCGAACGTATATACTGTACAAGACTTGGACACATATAGTCTGCAAGACAACCGTTATACATTTAGATCGATGATCTAAATTGAATCATACTTTACAGGTGTGATGTGCCAGTTTCTAATGAAGGTATTATTTTTATGGACATGTTTTTTTTATAAAACATATGTCCAAACGTCTGCATAAGCATTTTGATAAAACCAGTATTTTATTGGCAGTTGTTCTGTTCAACTGTATTACATACCATATATGGTATTGAGTTTTAGGCCGGTCAACTGGTCACAAAGTCTAGTCTCACATTTTAAAAATTAAATAGATACAATATTTCTTTAATTATTATAATGATTAAGTTGTCAAATCTCAAAATGGTTACAGGCTCCTCAGGGAGGTATGCAGATCTGAGGTCAATACTTGCTTAGTTTGATGAAGTGATAAATAATAATCTAGTCAAGGCGCAAAGAGGGGTTTTGAAGAAACCTCGCAGTTAATAGAGAGTAAAAGTGCTCAGGAGCACGGACTCAACTAGCCTCAACATAATAATAAATAAATAGATGTACATAAAGCGTAATAAAAATGAAATCATCGGTTTTAGTACGTAGTCACTTCTGACGTTCTGTAATCTTTGATTCATTTAGTACTAGTATGGCTTTAAAAAGTCATGGGCCAAAGTAGAATTCACCTTTTTCGCAACATTTAATAAATTTGATCAGTTCAACGGAATATTTCGCTTATTATTATCATTTGTCAAAATTTAGTTCTATTCGCAATTTTTATTGTATATATAAAAAATGTAGATTATTTAATTTTACTTCAAGTTATCGGTACTTTTATAAAGCTTATTTCAAAAATTCTATAATATATAGCGTATAATAAAATTTAAATTAATGTATATTATCTTTTATTTTGTTATTGTATTTTAAGAAAAGAAGAAAATGTAATAGAAAATAATATAGAATAGAGAAAATGTGATAGAATATAATATAGAATATAATATAAATATAAAATTTAAAAATATTTAATTTTTTAAAATAAATTTTAATGAAAATAAATTTTATCAAATGAATTGTGCTTGAGTTCAATTCGAATTTAATATATTACAACAGGAAATTGAAAAGTTATACCCACCACCACCGGAAGTGAAAACATTTAAAAAATGCAAACAATATTAATCTTAATTTTAAACTTCATTATAAGTATATTTTTAATGGAAATATTAAGTACTATGAAAAATTATTATTTTAAGTAGCACGTACAATATACATGTGCGTCTTTCCCTCCCCTCAATGAAATAACTCCATTTTAAAATAAAATTCAATAACTGTA